TATTGTAAATAATGCCACAGTGAACATAGGGTGAATATATACTTTCGAATAAGTGTCTTGGGTTTCTTTGGATATATTCCCAGAAGTGGAATCTGAGTCATAAGGCAGTTTCACTTTTAATTTTTATTTTTCAATTCTAACCTAAGGACATTTTTACATTGATTTTTTTTTTTTTTTTTTTTTTTTTTTAGATAAAGTGGGGTGGGGGGAGATATTGATGTGAGAGAGATACATCAATTGGTTGCCTCCTGAAAAGCTCCGGGCCAGGATGAAACCCCAAAACCAAGGTACGTGCTCTTGTCTGGGAATTGAGCCTGTGACTCTTCAGTTAAAGGGCTGATGCTCTAACTGCTCAAGCCAGCCAGGGCCACTTTGAATTTTTTGAGGAACCGCCATACTATCTGAAATCCCACCAATAGTGTCTGCTTATAGTTTTAATTCAGACTTGTTAATCTACTTAATACTATCTTCTTAATGAAACTATGATAAATAATGCTATTGTGTTACACATGTCTAAGAACCAGTTCATAGTTTGATATTTCAGCTTGGGTGTACTGTTCTCTGCTGGATGGAAAATGTAATCCTAGTTCAAATGAGCAGAACCTTGCTACCTTACTAGTGATTTATCTTGTTTAAACTTGAAAGTGTGTTACATTTGCTGATGATGGGGTTATATACCCTCAGAGATAAGTGATTTGAGGAAGTTCTTTGATTTATGGAGTAATTAACTTCATTATACTTTTTTCACAATAATCTGGAAAATTGATTAAAAAGAGAAACTTAATTTAATTTACTATGATATATCTATATTTATGTATATTTATGTACTTGTTTTGAAGCCAAAGATCAATATTTGGCCAAATCAGGGAACTAGAAAGGCCATGATCATTGGAAGTTTTCCGTGTGGTGGCTGATGGGATTTTTATGCATTTATTTTTCAGACTGAAGTTATTTAAAAATCGTGCATGCTTCATGGAGGTGCTTGAGAAGAAGAATGCTGGATTTTGATCTGATTCACAATACACATGCCAGCTCTATTTTGCTTTCCTGAAAAAGTTGTACTATCTTTACTCCTCTAAATCTGCTGCCTTTCTAAGCATGATACCAAAGGCAAATATCTTGAAGAAAAAAGTGATAAATTTTACTACAAAAATTTTAAACCTTCTGTCTGCCAAAATCAACTATAAACAAGATTGAAAGGCAACTGACAGCTAGGAACAATGGGGCAACACATATGGTGAACAAAGGGTGGAACGCCTTATGAAGAGCTCTTAAGCCCTGGCCGGTTTGGCTCAGCGGTTAGAGCGTCAGACCAATGAGTCGTGGGTTCGATTCTGATCCAGGGCACGTTCCTCCGTTGATTCATCCCTGGCCCTGTTTGGGGTCGTGTGGGAGGCATCCACTCGATGTGTCCCTTTCACATCAATGTTTTTTTTGTTTTTTCCTCTCTCTCTCTCTCCCTCCCACTCTGTCTGAACAAAAGAGGAAGAATGTCCTGGGGTGAGGATAAAAAAAAAAGAGCTCTTAAAATATGAAAGAGCACATAGTGTATGCCAGGTCATCATTTCATGTGGAGAGTTAGGTGCTGTTATTATCTTTATTTTATAGTTGAAAATGTAAGGCTTGGAGGGCCCTTACTGCTTGAATTAAATAAGGCTTTACACCCAGGTGGGCTAACTCCAGAGCTTCTGCTCTGAACCACTGTACTGTACTGCCCCCCATTCCAATAGATGGCTAGACACGAAAAGACAATTTATGAACAAAGACATCCAATAGCCAGTAAACATACACAATTTTTCTCTTTCTAGAAATAAAAAAAATGCAAATATATAAATGCAAATGAACATAGAACACATTATTAGCTATCAAACTGACATTAAAAAAATGTTCATGTTCATTATTAGCAAGATAAAAAGCAGACAATTGATAAGTACTTTCATTGGCAAAATCTTAAACATTTCTTAAAATTCTGTGAGGTTTTAACATTGCAATTCAATTTTTAGTTCTTTATCCAAAGAAAGTAACTGTGTGTATGAGATTTAGTTACAGGGATATGAGCTCAATATTTGTTTATAATAGCTAAAAACTGGAGTCAACCAGAATGGGGGATTGGTTAAAAAAATTAGTGTGTATCTATAAAATGGAATGTCAGTTGTTTAAAAAGACATTTTAAAGGGCATTTTAATATATATACTGTATATTAAAAGAATAAATTATGTTATTAAATCATTGGGATTATGTTTAGAACATGTACATTTTCGTATTGATAAAAAACTGGAAAAGTTTATACCAAAATATTTAATAGTGATGATCTCTAGTTAGTGGGACTATAATTCAGTATTAAAAAAATTTTTTTTTTCTTTATTGATTTTTAGAGAGAGAGGAAGAGAGAGACAGAAACATCGATGAGAGAGAACATCGATTGGCCACCTCCTGCATGCCCCCCACTGGGGATTTGGCCCACAACCTGGGCATGTGCCCTGACTGGGAATCAAACTGGCGACCTCTTGGTGCATGGGTCAACACTCAACCACTGAGCCACACCAGCCGGGCTATAAATCAGTATTTTGAATTTTCTAAATTTTCTACAATTTTAATTTTAAGGGGAAAAATGTTAAAATGAAATTTAAAAAATTACTTTTGTTGCATTAAGATTTTAAAAAAAGCATAGGCACAAATTTCAAAAAGGAAATTTTGATCCCTCTATCATTTTTAAATTTCTAATGAATAGTACATGTGGATCATTATTTTGGTCTTAAATAATTATCAGTAATGTTTTTCCCAAGAAAACTTGAATGACGTTATTTTATTCATAGTTTTCATGTGAATTTTTCTTCGTCTTCTTTCTTTTCTTTAACTTCTCCACATTCATATTAGTTTTTCTATTACTCACTTTTTTTTTCTGAGGTATATTCTACTTAAGAAATTGCTTCTCTTGCCGTGGCTGGGTGGCTCATGGTTGGAGCATGGTCCCCATGCACCAAGGTTGTGGTTCCATTCCCAGTCAGGGGCACATACAAGGATAAACCAATGAATGCTGAATAGGTGGAACAAGTTGATCTCTCTCCCTCTCTCTCTAATCAATCAATAAAATTAAAAAAAAAATTATTGTCTTTTTAACAGACTGATGGTTGCCAGAAGGGAGGAGTTTTGGGGGATGGGTGCAAAAGGTGAAGGGATTAACAAGTTCAGATTGGTAATTACAGAACAGTCACCAGGAGGTAAAGTACAGCATAGGGAATATAGTCAATGATATTATAATAGCTATGTATGGTGCCAGGTGGGTACTGGAAATATCCGGAGAACACTTTTAAAAGTATATGATTTTCGAATCACTATGCTGCATACTTAAAACTAATACAAAATAATATTGCATGTGAACTGTAATTGAAAAATAAAAAATTTTAAAAATCGCCTCTCTTGTTTTTCTGTTTACTCGTTTGTAACACAATCATCCAGTATTCATCCTTCACATTCGTTGTTCCCCCACACAGTTAAAATTTTGCAAACTTGGCATGGAATGTGTTCTGAGAAAAGGCAGATGCCTACTTGCTTATTTTATCTTATATTATTTAACAGGATTAAGATTATATAACCTAGTTCTCTATAATTGATGGTTTGATTTCAGTATTTGTTTATAAATGTGCATCAGTATTTTTGTTTTTATTTTCTGTTAATGTGGGATTTATTAACTAGGTTTTGTTCCTGAATGGCTGCACTTTTTTTTTTCCCCTCCCTGAGCAAATGATTTATATTTGGAGACATGGCACAGTACTAGATATTTCAAACAGGAAGAAAACAAAAAAGATCTCTGGCACTCATTAACCACTTTCTCCTGATCCGAGTTTCAACAGGTGTCTAGTAAATGCTGAGGTTTTCATCTTGCTCATACGTATCAGGCAAAGTAAAGCAGGTAGGGATTAGAGACTTTGAACTGATGTCTTTAAATCCAGAAGATCTATTTCTAGGTTGTTGGGACAGATTTGGTAGTTTGATTTGCTGCAATTCTATCATTTGAACACTGAGTGGCACTAAAGCCTAGGTCACAGATAGACTATTGCCGATTAAAATTCTAAGATTTAGGGGTCTATTGATGGGCATGGCTTTGGAAAAGTGCAAAAAGGATCAGTAAAAGGCACTTTGAGCTAAACAAAAAGAAAAGAAAACTTTGACGATTCGTTACTTTTGAGAACTGGAAATTTAATCAAACTATTGCTGTTACTTGCAAATTACTTGAAAACAAGAAGAAAACTGCTGTTAAAATGACCTAAGATGATTATTTTCACTGCAATCTATTCTTGAATATTTTCCCTTTTTCTTTGCAGGGCGGTGGGGTGGCTATACTTAGAAGAAGGTTGCAGACAGACTGACCTATATGTGTGCTATTAAGCTCCTGTGCGCTTGCAGTTGGCAATACCCATAGTAAACATCACTTCTGAACCCAAGCTTCTTTAGATACTATTTAGTTATACCTGTAAATGTGTGTTCACACATATGATTGAATTTGGGAAACATCAGTGTCATTGCAGTTAAAAGAAATTAGAATTTGGTTATTTTTGAAAAGGAAGAAAATTATACTTATGTTTTGTTGCTCCTCTAAACTATACATTCTTCATTTTTTCCTGCTAGTATTCCATTGGTATTCATATTCCTCCCTGAGAAAAAGCATGTTCTTAATATCTTGAAAAATTTTTTCTAGCATCTAATGGATTTTTAAATACACTCCATTTCATTATTTTAAACTTATTTTTCTCTTAAATTATTTTCTCTATGGTTGCAAAAACACACCCTTAACTTTACAGTCTATTTAGAATTAATATTAATATGTATGACTTCACCTAAACCATAAGAATTTTGTAACTGTAATGATTCATTTACCTACTTCCTATCATTGTTGTTATAGTAGTCATTTATCCTTCTTGGAAATTAAGAGTTAAGAGTAATATTTATATTTATTCATATATTTAATATTTTTTATGCTTTAATTCCTTTCTTTTTAGAACTTTCGTTGTGTTCTCCTGTCTTCTGATCACCATAATTTCTGATGAGAAGAGAGTGTCCATGTGAATCCTTGTACCACTGTAAGTACCTTGTCTTTTTTTTCTGGCTGCTTTTAACACTCTTCTCTTCATATTTGGTTTTCAGAATTTTTACCATGATGTGCTTAGGTTTAGATTGCTTGGAGTTTGCCGAATCATTGAAATTATACATTTATATTCTTCACCCGATACGAGAGATTTTTGGCCATTATTTCTTTCAATTTTTGCCCCCTGCACCATTCTTTCTTTTCTCTGATTCCTGGATTCCAATCACACATGTTAGAGTTTTTTTTTTTTAATCTTTATTGTTGAATGTAGAATGTATTACAAATGTTCCTCATTTTCCCCCCACTGACCCCCTCCTCGCCACTCCCGCCCCCCTCCCGCCTTTCCCCACACTATTGTCTGTGTCCATTGGTTATGCATATAAGTTCTTTGGTTTATTTCTTCCCACCCCCCAACCACTTTCCCTTTGAGGTTTGTCAGTCTAGCAATGACTCTGTACTTCTTAATCCCTTCACGTTTTTCACCCATTCCCCCAACCCCCCTCCCATCTGGCAACCAACAAAATGTTCTCTGTATCTATGAGAATGTTTCTGTTCTACCTGTTCATTTTGTTTGTAGATTCCATTGTTGATAGATATGTATTCATTGCCATTTTGTTTGTTCATATATTTTATCTTTTTCTTCAAAAAGACCCTTCATCATTTCATATAATAATGGTTTGGTGGTGATGAACTCCTTTACCTTTTTCTTGTCTGGGAAAGTCTTTATATGGCCATCGATTCTAAATGCCAGCTTTGCAGGATAGAGTAATCTTGGTTGTAGGTTCTTGCTTTTCATCACTCTGAATATTTCTTGCCACTCCCTTCAGGCCTGCAAAGTTTCTTTTGAGAAATCAGCTGACAGCCTTATGGGAACTCCTTTGTAGGTAACTAGCTGCCTTTCTCTTGCTGCTTTTAAGATTCTCTCTTTGTCTTGAACCTTTTGCATTTTGATGATGATGTGTCTTGGTGTGGGCCTCTTGGGGTTCATCTTGTTTGGGACTCTCTGTGCTTCCTGGACTTGTATGTCTGTTTCCTTCACCAAGTTAGGAAAATTTTCTGCCATTATTGTTTCAAACTGGTTTTCAATTTCTTGTTCTCGCTCTTCTCCTTCTGGCACCCCCAAGATACCAATGTTGGCACGTTTGAAGTTGTCCCAGAAGCTCCTTACACTATCCTCATTTTTTTGGATTCTTTTTTCTTTTTGCTGTTCTGACTGGCGTTTTTTGCTTCCTTATATTCCAAATCGATGGTTTGCTTCTTGGATTTACATACTCTACTATTGAATCTGTGTAAATTATTCTTTATTTCAGTTAATGCCTCCTTCATTTCTGACTGTGCATCCATCATTTCTGACTGGTCCTTTTTTATGCTCTTGAGGCCCTCACTAAGTTCACTGAGGTTCTCACTAAGTTCATTGAGCATCCTTATCTGCAGTATTTTGAACTCAGCATGTGTTAGGTTGCTTATCTCCATTTCGCTTAGTTCTTTTCTTGGGGTTTTGTTCTGTTCTTTCATTTGGGACTTGTTTCTTTGTCTCTTCACTTTGGCTGCCTCCCTGTGTTTGTTTCTGTGCATTACTTAACGAGAGGTATAGGGCTCTCTGAGACCAGATGTTGCTCGTTTGAAAGAATTTAGGAAAAACCTGAAGCAGGATCCAAGACAGGCCAATTCAATGGTTAAGCAATTGGCTACAACTTGGGTGGGCTTGAAAGTTGGGTGGGGCGGGGCCTCAGGGAATCACCAGGGCGGGGCTACCAGTGTGAGCCAGGTTGCTGGAGTCCCAGGTATGGTGACTGTCTGCTGCCCCAGGGAAGGGCTCACAAAAGGAACAAAGGCCTCTGACAGCACGTCTGTCCCAGAGAAAGCCCCCTCTCCAGCCCTCGCTCCAGTGCCAAACAGCTCAGTTCTTCCCTGTGTGTCTCTTGTGCCCCTGGAGCTGCCTCCCCTCCAAGCTTAGAGGGAGTGAGTCCATGCGCGGGCCCTTTAAGGAGCTGCCTGGGGCTCCAGCCACATCAGCTTCCCTGAGACTCAGTTCCTGCTGGTTTTTCCAGCCAGAAGTTATGGGGACTTCTCTTCCTGGCACTGGAACCCTGAGCTGGGTACCTGGTGTGGGACAGGGACCCCTCAGTGCTCAGGAAAGACCTTCCCAACTGAGGTATCTTCCTGATTTTTATCTGCCTCACGTGGGTGTGGGACCAGCCTGTCCCACCTCTGCCCCTCCTACCAGTCTCAATGTGGCTGCTGCTTTAATTCCGTAGTTGTAGGACTTCCATTCAGCTTGATTTCAGGTGGTTTTGAATGATGGTTGTTCTGTAGTTTAGTTGTAACTTTGATGTGGTTGTGGGAGGACGATACCGCGTTTACGCAACCATCTTGACTGGAAGTTTGTTAGAGTTTTTTATATTTTAACACAGGTTTCTGAGGCTCTGTTCACTGTTTTAATATTTTTAAATATCTCTCCATTTGTAAGATTGCATAACTTCCAATGTTTATCTGAAAGGTCACTGGCTCCTTTCTGTATTACCATCATCTGCAGTTAAGATCATATAATTAATTTTTATTTCAGGAGTTATAGGATTACAATTTCTATTTAGCTGAAATGTCCTATCTCTTCATTCTAAGTATATTTCCTCTTACTTCTTTGAGCATAATTATGATTGCATCAAAATCCTTATATACTAACTCTAAGATCTCTATAATTTTGAAACTGGGATATAGATTTCTCTTCTGAGAATGGGTTACTTTTTACTGGTTCTTTATTTGTTGAATAATTTTGGATTAATTTCTGGACAGTGTGAATGTTGCGATGTGGATCATTTCTACTACTATAAAAAGTACTGTTATTTTGACCTAACAGGCAATTTTTTTTTTTGGTTGAATCTCCAAAGTATAGTGACTACCAAGTAGCATCTCAAATCTGTTTATTTATTTTATTTTTTTCAGTATCTGTTTTAATATTAAAAATTTTCAATTACAGTTGGCATTTAATATTAGTTTCAGATGTATAGCATGGTGGGTAGACATTTATATAATTTATGAAGTGATTCCCCCCAATAAATCTAATACCCACTTGACACCCTATATAGTTATGACAATTTATTGACTGTATCCCTATGCTATACTTTATATCCCAGTGATTATTTTGTGACTTCCAATTTGTTCAGTTTAGTGTTTTCTATCTTAAGTGGAGTGCTTTGTGTATGCTCCATAGATGCAAGGTTCAGTGAGCACCCAGGGATCTGGGCAAATTTTACTGACAGAATCTGGGCCTCTACTCTTCTGCTTTGGAGATTTTCACTGTACTTACTGTCTCTTGGGAGTGATGGCCCAGAACTCTGTCCTCTGGTTTTAAGGTCAGAAAGATTGTAGGTTAAAAGCCATACACATGGGAAAATTCATTCTGGGTCATTTCCCTTCTCCCCTCCATAATCCATCTTGTACCTTCAGATCTTTTTATTGTGGTATTTTGTCCAGAATTTATTGTTGTTCTGTGTGTGAGGATTATCCTAGTACAAGATAATTCTGCCCTGATGGAGGCAAAAGTCTGTATCACTCTTGTTCTTCATTAATTCCAGAAAAAAATATTTCTAGTTCCTTATCCTGGCATTTTTGGATTATCTATCTCTTCAAGCATATAAATTCTGCCTTCTCTCTTTAGTCTCACATGTATTCATCCATTCTTGATTTGGCTATTACAAAAAATTCCTTGGTGTCACCCCCACACATTTTTAGTGCTATGTGTCTTTTTCTTATAGTTTCCAATGTTTGGAACATAGTTTCTCTTTTTATCTGCTAGTCAGGTTGTTATTCAATCTTCAAGGACCAATACACATATTTATTCTGTAGTAGAAGTAGTTGCTTCCTCTTCTGTGCTTCTGTTATAAATTATTGAAACAATTATAGAGTTAGTTTATTGTATATGTCTGTCTGCCCAATTGGATTTTTTGCTACCTTAATCAGAAGAAATTTCCTTGTATATCTATTTTAATTGCATCTACTTTATTGTGTTCTGATTTATAGTTCTAATATTTGTACTGCAGCAAAATAGTATCTTGGTAAAGAAGAGAATAAAAATGTTATTATATATAATAAAATCTAATTACATAGATAACATTCATTGTTTTCTATTTTTATATAATATTATGACCTTTAGAGTTTTGCAGGTGTTTATTTTATCTTTTATTTTTTAATTGTCTTAAAATACATATAAAATTCACTATCTTAACCATTTTTAAGTGCACATTTCAGTGGTATTAACTACATTCACGTTGTCATGCAGCTGCCACCACCATCCATCCCTTAACTCTTCATCTTGTAAAACCGAAATGCCATACCTATTTAAGAGTGACTCCCCATTGTCACCTATCCCAGCCCATGGACTTTCTGTCTTTATGATCTTGACTAAGTACTTCAATTAAGTGGAATCATAGAATGTTTGTCTTATTTTGATTGGCTTGTTGCAGTTAGCATAATGTCCTCAAGGTTCATCCATGTTATAGCATATTGCAGAATTTCTGTTATTAATGCTGAATGATATTCCATTATATGAATATGCTACATTTTTCTTTTTCATTTATCTGTTGATGGATACATTTTAGCTATTGTGAATAATGCTGCTAGGAACATATATTTCTTTGAGACCCTGTTTTCAAATCTTTTTGGTATATACCCAGCAGTAGAATTGCTGGGTCATGTGGTAATTTTATTTTTAATTTTTTGACAACCTTCCATACTGTTCTCCACAGAGGCTGTGCATTTTACATTCCCACCAATGGTGCACAAAGCTTTCTATTTCTTCACTCTCACCAACAATGTTTTTCTTTCTTTATTTTTTTTTTTTTTTTTTTTATTTTTTTTATTTATTTATTTATTTATTTATTTTTTGTTACAGATATTTTACCTTTTTACCCCATTGGCACCCCCCACCCCACCCCCCCTCCACCCTGTCCCCGGCTTAGTTGTCCATGTCCATTGGTCATGCATACATGCATATAA